AACTAAGTTTGTGTATTCTCAAAAGCATCTTTAGTAAATGGCCCCACTTCTTTTTTAAATAGATTAGACTTGGGAAGTGAAATATATGTTGTTTCTATAGTAGAATTATACAACAGTAGCAGTTTTATTTTGGCTTTCTCCTCCTTATGCCCAAAAAAAAAAAAAAAAAAAAAAAGCATATAAAACAAAGTATGGTGCTATCTTGAATGCGCTACAAGAATCATTTTTATTCTTTAAGTCCCATCTCCATGAGTAGTTTTACATTCCCCTCAAACTCACAGACCCTTCTTCCTTTGAACCTCCATATCATAGGGTTCAGATCTCTCACGTGGCAATTTTCATATTCTGGATTATAGCTATCTGTGTTCTTTTCTTACCAGCCACTCTCTCCTGCTCCTTACTTTGCTCTATCTCCTAAAGCTGGGGCTATTAACCTGATGACTGTAAATCTCCTGAAAATATACATAAAATTAGTGTTTCTGTATATATAAGTACATTTTCCTGGAGAGAATTCATAGCTTTCATCAAATTCTCAAAAAAGGCTTGAGAGTCAAAAAAGGTAAGGAGCTCTAGTCTAGGAGAAAGACTGATTTACTTATCCTTGGATCCTCTACAGTGCTTAGCATCTACCTTACATATTGATAAACTTTTGTTGACTGAAAATTTTATTAATAAGTAATAAAATCATATTTAGGTTTCTGTTTAATGCAATCTTTAAAAATACTTTTTCCTCCTTGGTCTTCTAAATCTTAATGTAAAAAATACTGTTTCTGAAAGTTGAATGGTGGTTGCCAGGGGCTTGGGAGGGGGCAATGGAGAGTTATTGTTTAATGGATACAGTGTATCAGTTTGGGAAGATGAAACTTCTGGAAATGGACATTAGTGATGACTGCACGACTATGTGAATGTAGTTAATACTACTGAACTGTTATGTATATTTTATCACAACAAAAAAAATGCTGTCTTATTCTCATGTAATATTAATCACCTATTACAGGGCAGATTCATCAGAGGAAATAAAGAAATATACTAGTTACATTAAGGATGTAAGGAAGAAAGGGGAAGGAATCTTAACCCCATCTATATACGTTGCTGGTTTTGAAGTGTAAATACAAATTCAAATAGAGTAACTTAATCAGAAATCTTGTCCATACAGAGGCACCATAACCTGAGTAAACAAAAGGAAACAAAAAATTGCTTAGGGATAGCAGTTTATCTTTGTGAACTAAATTAAACTCTTTCAAGGTACCAAGCTACTACTCAGGGCATAAATGATAATTTAGTCCAATTTTGTTCACGTTATCGATATGAATAATAGAAGTATTTTGGAAGCCTGCAATAGGCATTTCAAGGTACGAGGAGTAAATGTTATTCAACAAACATTTAGTTAAGTATTTTAGTCCATTTTCTGTTGCTATAACAGAATAACACAGACTGGGAAATTTATAAAGAAAAGAAATTTATGAGACTGGCTTCAGGAAGTAGGACCGGACACAGACTTCATGAATACGACCCCAAAAGCACAGGCAACCAAAGGAAAAATAAACAAATGGGATCATATCAAACTAAAGAGCTTCTGCACAGCAAAAGAAACAATTAACAGAGTTAAAAGACAACCAACAGAGTGAGAGAAAATATTTGCAAAATATACATCTGACAAAGGATTAATATCCAGAATATACAAGGAACTCAAACAACTTTACAAGAAAAAAACAAGCAACCCAATTAAAAAATGGGCAAAAGAGCTAAGCAGGCATTTCTCTAAGGAAGATATACAAATGG